TATCACTTCAGGTATTATAAAAGTAACAAAATGCTTTTAAAGATAATAAGCGTTACATTTTGAGATTGGCAGTGTTCACACTTTTCTGCTTAAGTGCTTTCCTAGTTTAGCATAATTTAATAACAATTATAGGGGAATAGCTAACATCTTGGTTCCCATATATATCTTTTCTCCTTCTTCGATTTATACACATTTTATATATCTATATATACATATAAAAGTGATAAAATTTCACTCTCTAAGTGGTGGGTTTATGAACAGTTACTGTCCTGCATTCGTCCTTGCTGTTAGAAATGGTTTCATTTTCTAAGTTTTTTAAAGCTTCTGATTGTTGAGAAGTCTACTGCAAAGAAGGTACTGCTATGTAGATCCATTCCTCTCCAGGAATCCGAATGAGTGTTCTTTTAAACAACTTTTTTGAGGTATAATTGCTATACAGTAAACCAACATATTTAAAGTGTAAATAATCTGGTGAGTTAAACAAATGTTTACTCCCATGAAATCATCCCCACAATCAAGATAATAAACGTTTCCATTACACCCAAGTTTCCTCCTTTCCCTTTTTAATCCTGCCCTTCTCTCCCTCTTGTCTGGTCCTTAGGCAACTACTGATCTGCTTTCTAAAATGTTATGTAATTCTATGTACTCTTCTATTTCAGGTTTCTTTCCTCAGCATAGAGATTAATCACGTTGTAGCACGTAATAATAGTTCATTTTGTTATGCTGAGTAATAGTACTATTTCATTGTATGGGTATACTACATATTGTCCATTTACCTGTTGGTGGACATAAAGGTTGTTTTCAAGATTTGGCTGTTACAAATAAACTGCTATTAACATTATGTGGATGTCATTACATGAACCATATGCTTTCATTTCTCTTCAGGAAATACCTAGGAGTGGGATGGCTGGATCATATAGGAGGAGTGTGTTTAACTTTTTAAGAAACTGCTGATCAGTTTCCCAAAGAGGTTTTGCCATTTTACATTTCCAACAATAGTGTCTGAGAGTTCCTGTTTCTCTACATCCTTGCTGATATTTGTTATGGTCAGTCGTTTTTATTTTAGCCATTCTAATAGGTACGCAGTGGTAGCTCACTGTGATTTTAATTTGCATTTCCTTACTGATCAATGATGTTGAGTATATCTTCATGTGCTTGTCATCCATACATCTTTTTTGGTGAAATGTCTGCAATTTTTTTTCTAAAGTCCTAAGTAAATGGAGATATGTACCACATGCATGGGTTAAAAGACTCAATATTGTTAACATGTCAGTTGTGTCCAAGTTGACCTATAGATTTAATGCAATCCCAGTCAAAATCCCAACAGATTTTTTAAGAAACTGACAAAATGATTCTAAAATTCATATTTAAATATAACAGAGCTATATTCTAAGACTCTGAAAAAGAAGAACAAAGTTGGAGGACTAATCCCACTTAGCTTGTACTAGTACCTAGTTTTTTGGTTCCTAGCTTCTTTGCAGAATATAAAAAACATTGTTTCTATTTCATTAATTGGTACCAGTATGTTTTTGAAAAGAGTTTAGACTTAAGCATACAAAAATTCACCAGTGGATACTGACAGTGTGGAAACCAGACCGCTGACTTCTTTCATTAAAGATACAGTCTCTAGCCATGGAGCCAATGAGAACTACTCCATCTACTTCCCTATTTACTTATTGGCTATGTTTCATAAGGAAATGTGACCCCTTTTAAGGTTTTTGCATAATGATACAACTTAGTCTTCTGATGGTTTATTTGTTAAACATGAATGAGAATAACCAGCCTGACCTTTCCCTGCTTCAGTCTTGGGGTACTTGGTTCATACATGCCTTCCAACACAAAATTGGTAAGCATTGCCAAAATGGACTGCTTCAGCATTATGAAACTGGGTGGAGAAAACAAGAAGCCTGCTAGTTATTTTGTAAGGTCATGATTTGGTGACTTTGAACAGACTTTCTAATGGTTCATGATTTCAAGGTTTAGATGCTGAATCTATCGTACTGAACAAGAGTGTTCAGAAATCTTTCCCGTTGTTTGTTCAGAAATTTCCAGTGAATCAATGCAGGGAGACCACATACAGATCTTCTCACGGAAAAGCCCATATACAGAACAGTCCAGATATTCGGATTTCAGTGCAGAGAATTTCACTAAGTGCCTTAGGTGAACCTAATATTAGACTGATCTCTTAATATTTTTATGCCTGCTATTTTGAAATCATGTGTGATGTCTATTTTCTCCCCTGAAGATTACACTTGATCTTAGCCAAAAGGCCGAGAAGCGATTTACATCAAGATTAATACATTCTTTTTATTCTTCTGACCTTTGCTTTTAACACAGGAAATTGGACTCCATATCAAGCAATAGCTCCCCTGTTAAACTTAGTTCTTCTGCTCCCTGTACATGTCATGTTATAGAGGTAGTTTTCTAACTTCTGCTGTTCAGTGCGGGTCATTTTTTCTTGTTATAGTCCTACCCCACGTAAATATAGACCAAAAGACAGACAAAGATAAACTAACCTGTTGTGGTTGGAATGCCCTCAACATGGGTCCTTGCTGCAAATCTTTGGAGGTGTTGTGTTGAATGTGCTCTTCTCACCTTGTTTTATATTTTCTAACTTTCTCAGAATTTCCTTTTTTTTACATTTTAAAGACAAGAGGTTGTTGAGGTTTTTTCCTATCCTCTCCTCTCTTCTTTCCCACCACAGTGAGGCAAGAGGCGAGTGGTGAGAGGCCTCTGCATCATTATCTTCATTTCTGGGCTATTTTTCATCTCTGTGATAGCTGATTGCTTTTGGGACACGAAGCCTTTTGTGTGTTTTATAGTTTTTTAAGATACTAATTTCTATTATCTTTTGTTCTCCAAGGTTGTTGTTCTTTTGTTATTTGTCTTGTATCTTTGTTCCTCTGTTTCATTTCCTCTAATCATGGTCTATGCATGTGTGCAAAGAAGGATGGCATTTTCCTTTGATTAGTAAATTAACCAGTTGCAATATTTTGGGTGTTATTTTTGGATCTTCACTACATTTAAGCTATATAATTGCTTTGTTATTCCTGCTAGGAATTTGTGGTTCCAAACCACTTCCAAAAACTCAGAAGTTTTGGAAGACTGAATTTTCTCCTGTATTTTAGAAAATAATAGTAGTCATACAATGCATCTTTCACGTCTTCCTTATATACATGGACCTATAAAATGTAACCCAAATATTTTGATTCTGATGTGTAGTTCTTTTGATTAAAGAAATTATTGCTGTACATTAAATCATATGATTTCTATTTATATTTAATGGTATTACAAAGAAAAAATATCACTTTGAGAAAACTGCACCTAGACTGTTTTATTGTAAAACAGGAAATTACACAAGTATCAGGTTTGGAGAATACAAAAATCAGCTTAACTGCAATATAAGTAATGGATTTTATGGGAATATAACTAGATGGAAAAAATCCAGTTAGAAGGTTGATTTGAATGGTTTTAGGAGAGAAACTGGTATGTTCAGTTTTACATTTTAGATTGGATACTCTGCAGTAAGGTAGTTGAAGTCAAGGATGGCTAGTCTGGGTATGGAAGCAAGAACTAGGGGATTATTCTAATGGTATATAGTAATGCTAGGGTAATGAAGTTGTCAAGAAATATTTAAAAATAGAGTCAGGTTCTATGTTAACTTATTAAATTTATTAGGTGTAAGAGAGGAAATCTATAAGGGTCACAACTGGTTTCTTGTTTGTATATCTTAAAAATTGTGGTGCATTTAGTGAAAAAATAATAAAATATATAGCCCATAGTAAAAAAACAACAACTTGTGATTTGAGTTTTCTGACTTCTGGATTCTGACATCTAAATGTGTAGGTAAGTGTGCTGTACTAGGAAAGTACAGATATTTTACCTTCAGTATTGTAAAAGGTTCTTTCAGACATTAAACTCTAGTTCCTACACTTAAACTTCCATGTATAGAAGGTTAGAGGAGTTGAAACTAGCTCTGTGAACCTGAGCCACGAATTCTTCTAAGTGTAAACCCCAACTGAAGTGATGAAATGAAGTGGGCTTTCTTTAAGTTCATAGTACAAACAACAGTTTGAGGAAAGGAGTGCTTTCCTTTCATCTTACCCAGGGAGTATGATATTCTTGCGTTGTTGGCTTCTATCAGTTATTTTGGATGAATGCATTTGTAGTATTTTCAGTGACTTTTTATGTTTTCCTTTTTTGAAACAAAATCCTTCTTTTTAAAACTATTTTAGATTTGATTCCTTTTTATATGAAAGTATTTAGTAAGTAATTTTTAAACATATTACATTATTTTATGAGAAACTTTTGACTTTGTTTGAAATATAAATTGATTTTTTAAATCAGTGATGGCTTTAGTTCTTATTGCTTAGTGAAAATGTACTTACCTCCTATAAAGGATTAATGTCTAAAATACTGAATTCAGAGATTGGCTAAAAGTTTAACATTAAAAGAAATCTTCTTGTAATTTGTTTGATTTTTTTTTTTTAAGTGTAAAACCTTTTATACTTTTTGCCTAATTAAGTCTGAAAAGTTATTTATCCATAATGTTTAAAAGTAATTTAATCAAGTCACAAACAGTACTGCATTTAACTAGATAAGTACAGCAAAAATGAAAATATTTTCATTATAAAATTGTGTACACTATGCCCAATATATAATATACATTAGTAAAGTTGTACATACACATCTTCTTGTATTAGTAACTACTGTCATACATATAATACAAAATTCATCATAAATATGGTTTATTTTCTTTCTTTTCCATCACCATTTAGGAAAAAAGCCATTCTTTCTTGAGAATTGCATAGTCCAATGACAAAGGAATTCTGTTAATATTGATGGAGGTGAAGAGGTGTGGCAAGTTGACTCTTGTTTACTAAAGTCTAGGTCAAGCTGAAATAAAACGGCTTAAAATTTCTAAATTGGGTTTTAAGTGAAAGATTATCTGCAATTGATAGTGCCATATAACTTATTCAGCTTTCATCTGTCTTTTACAGAGCTCCATAATAAGCATTCATAGCCAGTTTTTGGCAGCATTGGAATCACTGAAGACATTCTGGGATGTTATGGATGAAATCGATGAGAAGACTTGGGTACTTGAGCCAGAAAAACCTACACGGAGTGCAACCACACGCAGAATTGCAGTAGGTGGGGAAAAAGGATTCAGGAGGGCTTTTTTCTTTTTAAGGTGTTTGATTATATTTTGTATTACTTAGGAAAATGAATCTAAAGATAACATTGGACTCTTAGGTCAGACTTTTCTGCATGAAGTAAACTATTAAAACTTTTTTTTATTACAATGTATTTAAATGTAAATATCTCTGGGGGAAAGGGCAATGTCTCATTATAAAAGGTGATAATCCGATGGAAGCGGCATTCAAAGATGGTGTTAAATTAGCTTTTAATTAGCACAGAAATAGTGGAACAGGTTTTTCGAAACTTACATTATTTAGGAAAAAGAACTATGTCAGAAATAATGAAGTCTTCATCCATGAAGCTAGAGAAGATGAGTGTGAACAAATCTGGAAATATTTTCTGGAAAAAAATACAGAGAATGAAAGAACCTGAAATGGTCCATGCATGCCACTGAAGAGTAAACACAAGGCACAAAATAATAATATATTTGAAGTATTGCCATTATAAATATATGAAATAAATGGAAAAGATGTTATATATAACTATAAATATCCTTTAAATATCACCATATTCTTTACTATAAAATGATTGTTTTAAGTGTTTCATTACGAGCAAGCAAAACAGTTTCCAAGTTCTGCCTCTCTCAAGATTGTAGATGTTTTAAACCATAGTTGAGTTCACACTAAATACTGTTAGTTGGGTGGTTAGAAGATACCTATTTATATCTTTCCTCCCCTTTTTCCTAGCCCAAATAGATATGTTGTTTCAAATCATATATCCCAAAGGATATTTTGAATTTCTGATGTGAATCATATCCCAGTTAGTGAGCAATTTTTATAGTTTTTACCTAGGCATACTAGATTATCTGGGGGGAAAATAGTGACATGTTATTAGAAGAGGAAGTATAATTGTACAGCAGTTCTACAAATGATATTGTTACCCAGTTTGTTAAAGTCCAACAGTATTTAATTTGGAATAATTAACCAAATTTTGGTATATCTGTGAACAAGTAAATATTAAGAATGAAAATATTTTCTTCAAAGAAGTATAATAACTTATCTTCATGTCATCATTAAAATAATTATTTTTATCAGGTTATATGATTAAATATACTTCTTATCCTATTTGTCATTGTTCAGCAAAAACAGCCTGGTTTTCATTCATTTTCTCTTCTCTCTGTTTACCTTTTAGGTGCTTTCCCCCTCTTTAGGCACTGATTTGCCTTTTTAAGACCAAGTTTTCAGCAAATTAATTAAAAGATTAGTTAATATAGCCATTGTTAAGTGAAAGTATTTTCTGGAGTCATTAGATGACTTTGCCAGAGGCTAATATGGAATTTGTGTTTATGATAAAGAATGTATTAACAATTGAGATTACAAGTTCCCTTTTTGTCTTTCTCATTGAATGACTTATAGTCATTTATTTTACTTGGTTACCTTTTTGCCAGATCTGTAGTAACTCTGTTTATATTGTTGTCAACCTTAGCCAAAGGTTTATAAACTATAGTATATAGAATTTATCAAGACATTTTTACCATAAAAATGAAATTTAAATAGACTTTAAACAATTACACTGTGCACCTTAAAAATAGTAAAATTTCTGAAGTTTGTTCAGTACTCTAGTACAGTTAAAATTTATAAAAGAATCTAGTGCCAAATAAAAGTAACTTTTTCATAGATTGTGCAAGCAAGGTTATTTGTTTTCACTAAATAAACTGTTTTAAATTTAATAGGAATTGAATCCTTTAAGTTACAGAGGAAAACTTCACATGGAGCAAAAGAATTCAGAAAGTATTATTATAAACCTTCATAAAACTCAAATCTTAAACATGTTTATTTTTTACCATTTATTGTATTTGTCTATATATTTGACCATATTTCTATTTCTTTCCAAGAAAGTCATGCAAAGTAATTTAAAAATTTCTTAAATTTTTGATTTGTGAATTTTTTATATTAAAGATCTTTATCACTCCATAAAACCTTTTATTTAAACTTTAATAGGATTCTGACCAGGATCCTAATCTAAATTATATTAACTTATGGATTGACTCTGTTTTTTGAAATTTAGGGTCCCCAGATTTTTAGCCACAATTATAATTTCAAAATTTGCTTTTTATAATATAGTGATATATTGACGTTTATGACACATTTATAAAGCATTTGGTTACTCTTCCCTTGTGTATATAATGAAGTAAGCACCCAGCCAGATATTCACTTATTTTTTGTAAAAACTTTAATATTCTTTTACTCTAGGGAATAATGCTTCAGTACATGTGGAGGTGGACCCCAGGCACCCTACTATGCTTCCCGAGTGCTGCTTTCTTGGAGCTGACCATGGTGTGAGATCTCAGATTTAAATGTTTTAACAGAATCATAAAATCCTTGTCTACTACTGTTAAAGTATTATTATAAAATATTAATGGTAATTATTTTAAATGAAAATGTCTCATCATTTTGAACTGTGTACTTTTGTGGTTTTAATTAATTTTCTATTCAAGTAGTTAAACAAATTCTATAGTTAACAATACTGTACTGTTAGTTAACAATACTGTATTGTTAGTTAACAATACTGTATTTGAAAGTTACTGTGAGATCTTAAAAGTTTTCATCATAAGAAAAAAAATCTGTAATTACGTGTGGTGATGGATGTTAACTTGTAGTAACCATTTCACAATATATACATATACCAGATCATAATGTTGTACATCTAAAACTAATAGTGTTATATATCAGAGTAACTTAGAAACAAATTCTGTGCCATTTTACAAAATGAGAACAGCAACCCCTAAATTATTAAACTTTTTTTTATTTAAATATCTGAAGTGGTGAAACCTCTGGGAATTAAGCTGAGCAGAAACATACATTTATGGTAGGTATCTTTGCAATAGAATTGTTACTTTTCTGTGATTTTACAAATTTAATTAAAAAATTTTTTTTCATGCTTTCAGGGATCCAGAAAATACTCTATTACAGAATTTGAAAGATGTCTTAGAAATTGATTTTCCAGCTCGTGCTATCCTGGAAAAATCTGCAAGTTTTTTCTTTGCTTTGATATTCCAAACAGCATTGCATAATGAAAANGTGCTATCCTGGAAAAATCTGTAAGTTTTTTCTTTGCTTTGATATTCCAAACAGCATTGCATAATGAAAATTAAATGTTCTTTTAGGTACCAGAGGAAAATAAGGCTGAAAGTGAGGAAATTGGAAGAATATTATAACAGACTTTTAAACTGCAAGCAAGTTGCACCAAAGAACTTGTTAACCTTTGATTGGTGGTTATAAGTGTACTTTTTCATGGTCTTTGTGACAGTAAATTGATTAATGACAAACATCTTTATTTATTAAAAATAGGAGGAAGGGTCCAAAGTAGCTAATGAGATGTTTGGATTTTCTATACTATCTGCTTCTGGATGATTGAGATGAAGTTCTGATGAGCTTAATATAAGTGTTTGTGAAGGGTGGCGTTACGGTTTTTCAAAATTGAACACACACCACTACATTGCAAATAAACTTAGGATTGATTTTTGACAAAGCTGCTAAATTGTAGACTGCTAGTTAGTAATCACCAGTGATACCAGTTTCTGTTTTTACATACTAGTGTATATTGATGTACAATATGGGAAAATTACTTAAACCCAAACATCTTGTGAGGCAAAAATAGAATCTGTTTTTTATATATCTGTATGTATAATGTATTGGATGAAAAAAGGGAGCACTCATACAAACAGCTTTTCTTAAGTGTTAAATAGTAATGTGGCTATTTTCTATAATATAGTTACCTTTATAAAAACTGTAATTACAGACATTTAGTATTGTCTATACCATATTATTCATTCTCTCTTATCCTGTATGTTTTAAACACATACACTTTAAATATTTATTTTCTTTTGAAGGATTTTTCTATGGATTGTGGAATTTGTTATGCCTATCAACTTGATGGTGCCATTCCTGACCAAGTGTGTGATAATTCCCAGTGTGGACAGCCTTTCCATCAGATATGCTTATATGAGGTAAAATAACATGAGCAAGACTTTTTTCAGCTAACACAGCATAGGAAGGGTGCATAGTTGAAATAGACTATAAAATCTATTTCAAAATGATCTTCTGTTTTGCCCTTAGCTCCTGCATTACTAGTTCATTCAGATGTCCATGTGCTTCATTTCTTCATCATGTTTTCTCATGAGTGAAGACGTGTCCAGAATACATTCATGAACTACTAGTGACACATAAACTGACAGTACATTGCAGTCTTTCAGTAAATACCTCGTGTAACCACATGCAAACTGTAGACTCATCCAGTTGGGAGTAGTGGTGACAGTGAGGTGAAGAGGAACTAGCACTATGGAACATCTGTTACTTTTCAGGCTAGATTTAAGTATAGAATAAATGTAATAATCTTCCTTTTGATATTGAGAACACGTTTTATGATGTGAGTATCTCACAGCACTCTCAGTGACATTTTATTTACTATATGTGAAGTCTGCTTTTATTCCTATCTCTAGTCATTTGTTCTGCAAAGCATTCGTCTTAGGGCACAGTTGACATACGATAAAGTACATGTGCACCGATATACAAAACACCTTGCAGTTGTATGGTGCTTTCAATTTTCTAAGTCTTCCCTAGTATACCTACCTGATTTTTGTGATTAGATATAGTAGTTGGTGCTACCTGTATTTTAACAAGGGAGAGTTGAGGTAGAGATGTCCGTTTACCTTATATAAAATCATAAAATATCAGTTCTACTTATAGAGATACTCTTAAGGAAACGTGCTTTCTTTTATAATAATGAATATTCATTTAATTTTTTTAGATGATAAAATACAAGAATTTCTTTGCAGTGCCTAAAACTAACGAGGGATTAATATCTAGAATATATGTAATTTCTTATAATTCAACAATAAAAATACAGGAATAAAAGTAAAGGATATGAACGTTGGGAGGATAAGAGCCAAAAAAGTGAACTAGTATACTAAGTAGTCTTCAAACGTAGTATTCAGAGAAATGCCTATTAAAATACTGATGTATCACTTAATACTTATTAGACTAAGAAATGTAGAAATCTGGATACATTAAACAATTGGCAGAGATTTGAGGGCAAAGAAATCCTCAGTAACTGCTAGTGGGAGGGTATGCTAGTGGAGGTAGTCTAGAAAATAATCTAGCACTATTTAATATGTATGTGCCTCTGTGTGTGTGTGTATATACATATACCCCATAACTCGGCAGTTGTACTTCTGGGTATAGAATACAAAGAAAGTCTTACATAGATTCATTTAATTTTTAAAAATGAACTGTATCATGCTTGTAATTAATGGTTGAGAATTAACCCACTATTGGTGATTAACACCAGAATTAAGACCTAAATTTTCAAGGCCTATGGTATTTTTCACAGCCTTAGTTCTTCATTTGTGACTAATGGATTTAGGTAGATCTGTGAACCCCTAGGCCTGTAGGCATTATTTTTGTGTATTTCAGGGTAGAAATTGTGAATAGTTTTCATCAGACTCTAATGGGCCCACAATTTGGTTGAACACCAGTTTGTATAGGCCCTGAAAACCATGCTGGTTTCCCCTGGTTATTCAGCACACACACAGTCCGGTACTGGGTCAGAAAATGTTCCCCATACCCTTCTTGCAAAAGAAAATTAAGAAGGTAAATCTTCTGGAATAAAAATATGATGCATTCAAAAAGAAAAATTATTTCCGGAGTATCTAATCATGCTAACATTGCTTCCTTTATCTTCTCTTTTAAACAACTTCAGTGGTTGAGAGGTCTACAGACAAGTAGACAGAGTTTTAACATCTTATTTGGTGAATGTCCGTATTGTAGTAAGGTAAGCAGTTAATCACATTTCATAAAATGTCCTTAGCTTTTAGTTATGTGTTTTAGAAGATATCCATATATCAGCTTATCTAAAACTTTTTGAGACATTAACATGTATTTAAAAAAGAAAAGTTTCTGTAAGGTAAATTGTCCCGATAAATAACATTTTAATTTCCTCTGTAATCTGAAACTTCAGAAAAATATTTTCCAAACTGTATCATGACACCATTTCTAGTATACAGCATTTTTTTTTTTTTGGAATGTTCACAAACTTACTTTGTTTAAAACGTATTCTCTTTTTATAAGCCAATTACCTTGAAAATGTCTGGGAGGAAGCCCTGAAGTAAGAATGAAACGTTTCTGTGAAGAACTGGAACTTTAAAAACTATCAAAATGATTTTGCTATCTTCAAAGAAAATATAAAGCAAGACCTACTAACGTCAAAAGACAAAGAATGGTGAAGCCATAATAATATACATCTGCCTTTGTCTCTTCACTAAGGGTAAACTGGGAAATTACAGGCCAAAATCCTGTAGAACTTTCTAAGTCTGTGACTTCCATACCAGCTGAAGCAGTGCATGCGTACCACGATGGATGTCTTGACTTGTTGAATTTATCTGGATGGGGTTCATAAAATGAGTCTGGGAACTGCATAAAGCTGTCTTTTTGTGGAGAACTTTTTACTTCATTCAAAAATTCTTGCGACTCACGATATTTTTGTCGTCTTCTTGTGCTTTCCTATGGGAAAATACATATACAGTGTGTGAGATTTGAGTTATCAAGTATTTATGTGTGTGCTCTGTAAGAATGCTAAATAAGTTTTTGTGTGTTTATTTTGCCTGATAAGTTATTTTTAGATCCTGGATTTTAGGAGTTTATAAAGTACTTACCAGCATCAGTCAAATCTGGTTAATTTGATTGGTTCTTTTAAACCAGTAAGTAAGCCATCTCTTAACTTATAATCCAAAAATAAGATAGAATATGAAAACTTAATTTTCTTGGCAAGACAGAAAAACATTTCATCTTATGGGTGTCAGGCAGTCCTAATTAGAAAGCTTTCTGGTTATTAATATAGTGATTCTAGGGGAGCGAGATGGCTGCACACACTCACTGAGTGGACTGGCTGCCGCCTGACCCTGCAGCCTCCTGCCTGGACTCCGGAGGTTGACCTCTTCCCATAACAGGCCTCAAGAAGACAGCTGGTTAAAATTCTATTTGTCCAGAATGTTGATCTAGGGAAAGATGCCCACTCTTATCTCCTAGCAAAGAAGGAAACAGACAAGCTGTCTCTACAAATTAAAGTTTTATAATGTCGAAGCTGAATGCCTAGGAGCGTACAACAAAATCTGCCCAGAGGCGCGGCCAAGAGAAACCCTCGTGCCGTGGCTGAGGACGTGGAACGTGGCCTGGCCCGCAAGAGAACGAACCCGAAACAGCTCTAATATTAAAGTCACACTGAGGCCATTTTCCTAAAGCTCTGGCAGCTGAATTTGCTAAGGCAAAATAAGTGAATAGTTATGTCACTGGGCCAATAATATATTATTGTTCTTCACAAAGAAAAAGAAATTTGCCACCAAATCAAATATTTCTGAAGGCTGAGAGCCACCAGTAAGCTAACTTAGGCAGTATCCCCACCTAGATAAGAAGTCAAGCTACTAAACAAGTGTTTAACCTATACATCTCTTTAAGCAACAAACGATATCAAATGCGAAGGTACTCATCAAAGGATTTAACCACCAGTTGTCTTCACTTTATTGAGATCTGATTGGGATAGTTTATCGCTTAGGTTAGAAAAGTGTGGCTCACTGGCTAGCTGCCCGTTTTGTGAATAAATTTTATTGGAACACAGCCACACCCCATTATTTTACATATTATGCATGGCTGCTTTTACACTACAGCAACAATGCTGAATTGTTCTGACTGGACCTTAAAGGTCCAAATAGTACATATTTTAGGCTTAAGAAAAATTTGCTGGCCCCTGGTCTATGGCATTCTTTTTCAAACACCAAAAAGCATACAAATCATTTTGGGGTCTTGTTAAGATGCAGACCTCATTCAGGAGACTTAAGGTATGCAATAATTTATTCTGCAAGGACAGTGGTTCTCAACCAGTGGTTGTCCCACGGGGCCATTTAGCAATTTCTGGATACATTTTGGGTTGTCACAACTGGGAAGAGGTACTATTGGCATCTATTGGATAAAGGCCAGGGATAGTGGCCTACAATGTACATAACAGTCCCTAACAACAAATATCCTCACCCAATATGCCAATAGTGATGATATCAGGAAACCATGCATTATGAGCAGTTATTAGCCTTGAGTGCACATCAGAATCAGTTAGGAAGCTATGAAAAATATGAGCACCCCTTGTAGTTCTGGTCATGAGTAATGAGTATTAGACTTCCCCCCCTGCTGTGAAAACCGTGGAATAAACAATCAGGCTGGGCAAAATACATGTAGCAACTTACGAGTCATAGGAAATAAACAAGGCTGTGATTGTTGAGGAAGGGAGAATAACCCAGACCCTAGAAAGGCTACAACTTAAAGATATTTACCAATAAATTAACTGCCTACCAAGACAAAATTCAACACTCTTTAATAAAACCTGGAATCTCAAGAACTTAGCATTTAGAATGTTCAATAAAACTCTACTACACATAAGCAGGAAAATTTGACCGAAATAGATTCAGATATGACCCAGATGGTAGAATTATCAAACAACAATAAAACATCTACATAAATATGTTCAGAGACTTAAAGGAAAAATTAAACATAATTAGTGAACAGAAGAGGGTCTCAGCAGAGACTTGGGAAATATAATGCACTTCTAAAACTCAAAAATATGACATGAAAAATTCACTGGCTAGATTTAACAGCTAATTTGACAATCAATGACAGGCCCAGCAAAACAATATCCAAACTGAAATACAGCAAGATAAAAGACTGATTTGAAAAATGAACAGAGCTTCAGTTATCTGTTAGAAAAGGTAAAGCATTCTAATCTGCATATAGTTGGCTCTCAGAAGAAGTTAAAAGGGATTAAGGCAGGAAACAAATCAAAGAAATCATAGCTGAAACTTCTTCAGTTTGATGACAAATATCAACCCAATGATAAAAGAAGCTAAATGAACCCGAGCAGAATAAACACAAGACAGCCAACACTAAGAAACCAAAGATAAAAAAACAAATCTTAAAAGCAGCCAGAATATAATGTAAAGATACATTATATCCAGGATCAGTAAGAAAAATTGCTAACTTCTTATCAGAATAAAAACACACCCAAAAAGGGAAACATTTTTAAGGTTCAGAACGAAAAATTCCATATCCAATGAAGCCTTCAAAATGAAGGTAAGGGGCATCTGTTAACAGACAAGACAGAGTAAGAGTGTTCTAAGTTACATTTCCTGCTAATTACAACCAAAGATTTTGAACAAAAAGCAACGGATAGAACATTCTGAAAGTTGTACAGTAGAAGGCAGACTGGATAGAGAACTCGGGACATGAGGAATGACCTAGCCATGAGTCTCACCCTCAAACTCCCTCTTTTTGGTTCATCTTATGTATACCATCCTCGCCATTAAGCAGCCTGCAACTTGAAAACAATATGCACAGACCAAAAAAGGTCCAAAAACCCTGCTCTCTCTAAGCAATGGACCAGGGGAATGGCAGGATTATAGGACAGGATCCTGACTATACCTGTTCTACTCTAGGTGAAAACCATGAAATAAACTGTACCTCTCCCACTTCCCACCAGGTGCTTTGGTAACTGGGGTGGAGCCTTGTCAAGCATCACTACCCTGTACAAACCGAGGACCACTAAGGAGACAGACAAGTGGAGCCCTATCAGCCATCCCCACACTAACAAGGCAGTACCCTGTCCCAGCGGGTGTTACAGAAATGATGAAAGCCATGTTAGCCATTCCCAGACTGCTACTGAGGTGACACCTGCCCTCCCCATGAGGTACTCTGGAGACTATCCTTTCCTGCACGGACACAGGCAGAAGGAGGCAGTGCCTCTCCTGCACCCCACCAGACACTGTAGAGACTGTGCAGTAGAGTCCTACTGACCGTGCCCAACCTGTGTCAAGCAAACATCAGCAAAGAGACATCAACTGTCAAGTACTATGGGAAGGAGCCCTATTGACCCATCACTGCTATGCATTAAGCAAATGACAGCAAAGAGGCAGCACCCTACATCCTCCTAACTAGAAAACCTTGTCCTCAGTAATTAGTAGAACTCCTTGAGAAAAATCAGCAAAGCTATAAAAGAATTAATGACACCAAAAACCAATGGGATCTGACTGATATTTAGAGTACTCCACCCCAAAACAGGAGAAATAGCTATTCTTTTCAATTGCAACTGGAACATTCACCAAGATAGACAATTATCCTGGGTCATAAAATAAACCTTAACAAATTTAAAATTATATAAAGTATGTTCTCAGACAATATAAGTTAGAGATCAATAACAGATAACAGAAATACCTAATAACCAAGGCATCACAAAAGAAGTCTCAAGAAAAAGTACAAAATGTCTTGAACTAAACAAAATAAAAATACAATATGTAAGGATTCATAGGATGCGACTGGGGCTTAGCAGGACATTTATAGCATTAAATGCTTATATTAGAAAAAATGAAGGGTTCGTATCAATAGTTAAACCATCCACCTAAACTAGAAAAAGAAAATGAAAATAAACCAAAATCAAGCTGAAAAATATAAAAGGGAAATCTCCAACCATTTGAAAATTTAAAAACACTTCTGAATGGGTCAAAGAGAAACTTAAAAATATATTGAACTGAATGAAAATATATCAAAATATGTGAGACGTGGTTAACACAGTGCTAGGAAGGGAAATCTATAATACTAAATACCTATATTGGAAAAGAAGAAAAGTCTTAATTCAATAATTGAGACTTAAATTTCCACTTCAGGAAACTAGAAAAAGAGAATAAATCCAAGAGCAGAAATCAATGAAATTGACAACAGAAAAATAGGGAAAAATCAAACAAACAAAAGCTGGTTCTGCAAAAAGACCAATAGAATTGATAACCTGACCAAAAAAAATTAAAAAGAAAAACAACCATAGCTAGAAAGAAATTCTACTACAAATTCCACAGTATTTAAAGGATTTAAATAAGGGAATACTATGAATAATTCTAAACATAAAAATATGACAGCTTAGGTGAAATGGCCCAATTTTTAGAAAACCACAAATTATCAAAAACAACTCAAGATGAAATAGAGTAAACTGGTCAGAAGGCCATATCTCGCGCACTACCTGTTTTCATAGAGCCTACCAACTAAGAATAGTTTTAACATTTAAAAATATATATATATTGATTTCTGAAAGAGGAAGGGGGAGAGAGAGAGAAACATCAGTGATGAGAGAGTAATTGATCGGCTGCCTCCTGCAAACCCCCCACCAGGGATCAAGCCCACAACCCGGGCATGTGCCTTGACCAGGGATCTAATTGTGATCTACTGAATCACTGGTCAACGCTCAACCACTGAGCCACTCTGGCTGGGCTACATTTTTAAATGGTAGGAAAAAATTTGTGAGACTTGAAAATTATATGGAATTCAAATTTCAGTGCCATAAATAAAGTTTTGTTGGGAGCAGCTATACTCATTTGTTTATGGATTGTGTTATGATGCTTTCATGCTATAATGCAGAGTTGAATAGTGTGACAGAGACCACAGGACCTATAAAACCTATTTTCTATTTGGCTCTTTACAGAAAATTTTGCCAACTCTTGAAATAGATCATCTGCACAGTCTTTGTAAAGAAATTTAATTCCTAGCTAAAAAGTAAAAGAAATCTTTAGGCCCAGGTGGTTAACTGGAGAATTCTCTAAAATAAAGAAACACCACCAATTCTACTCATTCTTTTCTAGAAATTAGAAGGAAAACTTCTCAGCTCACGTTACAAAGCCAGTATTACCCTGATATCAAAACCAGACAAAGACAGTGGAGAATAAAAAGAAAACTACAGGTAAATACTCCTCATGAACAGGTGCAAAAGTCCTCGACAAAATACCAGCAAACTGAATCCAACAACACATGAAAATAGTAAACCATGACCAAGAGGGATTGATTTGAGAAATGAAAGACTAGTTCAATATTCAAACACTAATCAATGTCATCACCATGTTAGTAGTATAAAGATTAAAAATCACGATATTAACTGATACAGAAAAGGCATTTAACAGAATTCAACACCCATTTCATAATGCTCAGTACACTAGAAATATCATCAACTTGATAAAGAACAGCTACCAAAAACCTACCATACTAAAATGGTGAAAGGCAAAAAACTGGAAACTCACATGTTCTTCAAAACTAGATTCATACTTCAGAATACTACTTAGCAATGAAAAGGAATGAACTATTTACACATGCAAAACATGGATAGATCTCACGGACATTATGGTGAGTGAAATAAAGCCCATCTCAACCAGTTACATACTACATAGTCTGATATAGAGGACATGCTCAAAACAACAAAATCATAATGATGGGGGGTATTATCATAAAGCAACATGAGGAGTTTCTGTGATCATGCAACAGTTCTGTAGGATGACTGGCATTTTCGCTATACATGTAAAGATAGGACAGGAGATGTATATGTAAATTATACATGGAATTCTTATGACTCGGTAATAAAAAGACAATTGACTAAATAAAAATGGATCAAAACACTTGAAAAGGCAATTCACAAAAGAAGATATATGAATGGGCATTTAGCACATGAAAAGTTGCTCAAAATCACTAGTCATCAGGTAAGTGATAATTAGACTCACCATGAAATACTAATATACACATGTTGGAATGGCTAAAAAAGACTGACGCCGCCAAATGTTGGGAAGGATGTGGAATGGCTGGAAGTCTTGTACATTACTGGTAGAAGTACAAAATGGTTGGGACCATTTGTCAGCTTTTTATAAAACTGAATATGCATCTGTCCTATGACCCAGCAATTCCATCCCTCAGGAAGAACATGTCCTTAGAAGGACTTGTGTGAGAATGTCTATAGCAACTATATTTGTGGTGGCTACAGCCCGGAAGCCCTAGTGTCTATTCATAAGAGAATGGATATGTGAATTATGATCTAGTTATACAATGGAGTACTACTCAACAAGAAAAAAAGCAAATTACTAATACATACAACAGTATGGAGAAATCTCACAAAACATGCTGACACATTTTAAGCCAGACACAAAAGCATGCATATTGTATGACTACATGTATGTGAAATTCTGGAAGAGGCAAAACTAATCTAGTGATGAGAATCAGAATATCAAAACAGTGGTTGTCTCTAAGGGAAAGGGACTGAGAAAGGGAACAAACAACTTTCCGGAGTGATAAAGCTACACACACACATCGTATTGCCATCCCAATGAAAGTGAATCCATTTCCTCGCTTGGAACCTGGGCATCAATATTTTCATAGTCCCTCTCTCTCCCATGCACAGGTAATTCTGGTGCACAATAAGGGTGGAAAAAGAGCATTCAAGAATCTCTATTTTGTCACCAAGCAATATTTGTCTTTTACAATTAGGAACTATAAGTTATGACATTTGAAGTAGACTACTTTACAATTAAAAAATCGATGCCACTATTATTTTGTAACAATAAATGCAAAAGATTCCTATTAGTATTAAAAAATATATATCTCTCTCTAGATAAACCTGTATGCTTACTGGCAGGACAAGAAATATCTAACTAGTACGCTTCTAATTTTTGCCTTGGCTCCCAAGAAGTTCAGAGCCAAATTCAGCACTAGTTTAGTGATTAACATCCCAGCTGCCTGATATACCAATTTGGGAGTGGGGGCATTAAATTATTCTATTGCACACTGTAAACTACCTCAAATCATTCTGGAAAAAAAATATTGGTCTTTCTGAAAAAATAATTTTTTTCACTGCAGATATAAACACATTGTACTCTTCTTGTCAAAAAGGTTAGATTAGGAAAGACTTGACTGAGTGAGTGATCTACAAAAGGTCACTATCCAACCAAATTATCAAATAATGCAGAAAAGACATCATTTTAAAATACAACTATATTGACAGAGAAACACTTCCCTTACATTGGATTATAATGGTTAGACTGGAGGAACCCATGTAAAAGTATGGAATATGTTAAGAGTCTCTAATGGATCATAGATGGCATAAAAATTTAAGTGCACTTCATTACATTCTTAGGCTACAGGAAGAAATCAGATCTGTACGCCAGTATGTTCACTGTCATTCTTCTATAACTGGTGTTGGCGGCTTTGATTTTATCTTCTGGATAGGACACTTTCTTGTCCCTTCTCCTTTAGCAAAACTATATAACCTTGGCCCTCAGAAGAAAATAAAACGTCTTTCTTCCCAAAGGGCATATTCTAATGTAACATTAAGGAGAGGAGAAAAATTAACAACCCTCTCACCTGAGCCGTTTCTTTGTTAGGCAATCCAATCAGCTTCTCCTCTTTCTGCACTTTTCTCCGTGTTGCGTGGGACTCAGCACTTCTCTCACTGTGGACACTTTTTTCTACTACCCTATTTTGCATCTGATTGACTTGCTTTGTTGCAGCCTTTTGTGAATCAACCTGTTGATATAGAATAAGTAATAATATATATTGAAAACTTTTGACATGCAAAACTAAAAATGCATTCATATCCAGATTCTTGAAAACTCTGAACTTGCCAAGCTTTGAAAAAAATAGAGAGGAAACCAACAAATAAACGTTACAGAAAAAAGATAGTAGTTGGCAAGATCCTGACCCTCTCTCATCAGTAGGACAAGACCAATTAAAATTAGTGGCTCTGTTGTGCACTCTTTGGAAATTATCTCTACAGATAACTTGCTTATTGAAAACAGCATTTTTACAGAAAACTGTCACATTTTGAAACTGCACATGAATTCATTATTAACCTTTGCTGGGAGTGGATCCGGTATATCGTTTTAGTTTAAATTCTTATTAATTAGAATCTTCGTTTTCTATCACTGAAGTGAGCCTAATTAAACTGAATGTGTAACAGAAGCTTATGATGTTGCTTACTTTTTATACAGGTAATTTAACCTTTAAGCAGAAGAATAACAGTTCATGTCACCTAATCCTGTGTACCAGTATCAGAGGTTAAGTTCTACAACAAGCTTGTTTCTAAGGTTTCTTTTTCACACCGTGGTGTTATCTGGGGGATGTCTGACTTAATAAACCTGAAGTAGACGGGGAAACAGAAGCACAGATCCCTCAATACAGCTGGAAGATTGAAAGCTACAGTGAAGACCCTCATGTGAAGTATTTGCTCAGCAGCTTCATGTTTATAGCAGCTGAAAGTGCCATCACCTTTTCTCACGGGTTAAACAGAGGGCAGAAGATAGAACAGTACGAGGGGAAATAATGGAGTAGCCAGTGCCAAAACAGAATGAATTACACTGGCTGGGCAAGCAGAGCCTTAATTTGTAGTCTCTCAGTTTTTAGCTTCTATTGCCAAATGTGCTCACTTTCCCTTTAAAACATGCTGGTGCTTGTGGCTAGGTCTAAGCGTCGCAACATCAGTCTTTATCCATCCCTCCTTTCCGATCCCAGCTTCTCAAAGGACAAGGCTATGCCTTTCAGTAACCTGAAAACTGAAATTGCTTCCTAATCACTTGGGTTTTATTTCCACCACTCAACTCTCCCAAACTGCTGGGGAATTCGTGTGTGCCCTCCTCCTGAGCCCCTCTTGCATCCTGGTAATAAATGTCCATCATCCCACTAGTGTGAAACGGAGTTTCCCAAGGCTGTTGCACGCAGTTTTATCCTAATAAACACTGGCTGGCCAGTCACCGTGAAAATGTGTCCTGTGGCATGAAGGGTTAGTTGAGATCCTGAGTGTTTGGTGCCTCCTATGTGCCAGGCACCTCAGCTCTGACGGCTCTTGCTCTGGGAGCCTCCGACGCGCCAAGTCTTGGTCTAACGGATTCGGCCCTGAGGCTGGGCCTGGATGGTCAGGCTGTACTGCATGGGCACCTCTACCTAATCAAATGACGCCCAGTTTATGCGAAAGTTCTATTTCTAGGGAGTGTTTACAATGGTAAGAATAAAGGATGATGAAGTAAACATTTTTCTCAAAGTTATACAAATACAGAAAACACTTGGCATCCCCCACAATCAAGTAAAAGGATGCCATCCAAATGTGTGTCATTTTGAGAAAGTGGCTATTCAAACAACGTACGTTTTATTTAAATTTCCACTAGTGCTTCACACTGTTCTACAAAATCAGGAATACTTTTGGACCCTTAAAATTTAATATGCCAAATACGTGCTTATGATGGAGAATTTATATTTTGCTCTCACAGAAAATAAACTTGAAGACAAGTTTAATAGAATTATTTTGAGAATTAAAGCTCAAGGAAGAATTCTGTAAGCGTTTTAAGTTCATTAAAGATTACTACTACCAATAATGGTATATTCACCCCTAGCTTTGCCGTGGGAGCCTCCAACTTAGGGTGGACGTAGGAAGAAACGTTTTCCGTCTTAAGTGTGGGTTAGCTGGGACGTTTTGACTCTGACCTACAGCTACTCCGCTGCCAAGGGGAAGCATTTGGGAAGGACGGGCAGCGCCTTATGCCCAGGCGTCTACACTGTTCAAATATGGATTCAGGTATCATCTTAAGAAAGGAGATACTGATAAACTGAGAAAAGGATCCAGTGCGCTGGCTCCTGAGGAAGCCGCTTATTCAAGGGCTGAGCTGAGGCTTCAGTGACGCTGGCTTTTCAATTTGGCGTTAGGTTCTCACCTGGGAACTGCCGAGCTTAGCTCACTCGGCAAGCATGCCTACTGAAATATGGTTTCCTTCAGTGAGTTCTGGACATTAGGTCCCCGTGGGTGGCATAAATAGACTGAGGTAGCCCTGATGACAGATTCCCCTAATCCGTCAGTGCTACCTCAGGGGCCGTCAACTCCACCGGAGGGTGACTCCAGCTACACGCACCGTCATTTTGATCGAGGCAAATACCCGCAAAGATTTGCTTCTCAGGGAAAAATAGCAACGTCTCTACTATCTTGACAAAATTCATTCCCTCTTTCACTCCAGTAACAGTATTTGAGGACTTCAGAAGGTTCCGTTTACGGAGAAGAGTTTATGATGCCCAGTAAAACCTCGTACTGAAAAAAAATAGCTCATTTTTCTTTTGCAAAAAGAGGGTGGGAGTTGGCGAGATTCTTGCGGCGATGGGCTCATCTCTAACACGCAGCTGAAACAGTCTGAAGCAGCCTAAGTTTACAAGGCACAACCGCTTATTACTGAGGGAAACAACATTCTTAAAAATTAAACATTCATAGCTTTCCTTTGAATACTGAATGATAGAAACATTTATCTGACGGGATACATTTTCTGGTCCACTGGCTGCTTTTTAAGGATCTTTGTCTAGAAAGCACAAATCCAAAGTTCATTCACTAGTCTGTTAAATAACTAGAGGGACAAGTGTATAGAGTCAGAGGAAATGTTAAGGGGATTTTAAAGGGACTCTGTGACTAAAAAGAGAAATTTGGGGCCATGTAATTATATTCATTTTGGACTTAAAATTGTATTTGTAAATGGAAGCGATCAGTTGCGGAAACTATCCGATACTGTATCGCGCAAAGGGACGGAACATAGGACAGTATATATTATCATACTTGGCTTTTGAACATTTTCAAGTTTGGTTTTTTTAGCATTACAAAATCTGTAAGCTTTAAAAATAAATATTAAAATACTAAGGTTTAGCCACCTAATTACTAAATGTATCTGTATATTTAAAATGTTAGGGAAATAAAGTCATTATACAATATTGATATGCTGTGAAATATATCCCAAATCATCATACTTTCTGTAACAATGAGGCTGATCATATTGTTAACAGAAATTATCTTAAGAATGTATATTATTCTGTTTTCTTTTTACTCATAATCAAAGTGCTCTAATCAAAAGAAAAGAATAAAATATTTTTGATTGAGGCTCATTGGAAAAAAGTTTTATGGTATATTCTCTGCATATTAAAATGTTTTCACAACATCCTTAGAACTTGCTGAAACCAAAAATTCTGGTGAATAATTAAAATTTTATATCAGAGGATACAGCTATCAGGTTTTAAAATGGGTTTTTTATATTTCGATTAAGTTTATGAAAGTGAAAATCTACAAAAAACGGAAAAAAAACACCCTATTTAAATTAGTGTAGATTAAATGGTGACCATTATTGCAAGGGAAATACTATGTCAAGGAAATGGCTCTTTGTTTTGTTACGAAAGTGATAAAAACACAGAAGTCAATAAAACTGTTAAAATAAGTCTCAGTAATTACCAAGATCAAAATCCAGTGGCTTTTTATTAAACATGAACTTTTGTTCTGCCTTCTGCAATACGTAAATAGTGCTGACAATTGGTTTGTGAGGCACTTGCTACAATAAAATGTAATTGTATCATGAGAGAAAGGTGACAATCAGGAGATCATGAAAAAATTACATATTCTCGCTGGTAGTTAATTAGCCATGCAAAACCTCCTCAAACAGATATTCTCTTCTATTAGGAATGATTACTATGCAGGCCTACAGATGTCAATACCACAGTCATTCAAATACTTCTTTCCCTACTAATTGAAGGTTGTAAAGCTCTGGTGTCAAGGTTTTGCTTCCAAAGAGCTAATTTATGACTAGAAGGATATTTTATGTCTTCAGTTGCAGCAGCTACAAAATTCAGCAAATCAGAACCATCTGTGCTCCGGTACCTGACTCACCGTTCATCTAGCAGCCTATCCGTCACGTTAGTTTGCATCCTGCATTCTTGGCTCATGAACGCTCGTGATGATCCAAAGTTCATAAGAAATACTAAAAATGAATGGCATCCTGACCCTACCTTATTATACACGCATGAGGGGAGAAAAACCCTCCTACTTTTTTGTGTATGTGGAGAGTGTCAAGGGAGAAACAGCCACTGAGTCGCCTTTCCAGTCATGTCCTGATAGCAGTCTCAGGCTTCTCTTAAAAAATGTTTTGTCCTAATTCTTTTGTATTGTTTCAAGTTTAAATCTTTTTTCAAGTGATAATTCTCATTTTTTTACGTTGGTATGAGGGAGTCAGTTGAAAGACAGCAGAGTAAAGGAGGAGATACAACTTTAAAAAAAAAACTCTTTAAAAAATAATTGTTTCTTATAAATCGAAATATCAGCACATACAAATAATCTGCTTAAATCTAAGGTTATTATAATTTCCACCAAATTATGGCCAACTTGCTATGTGAAAACCAAGGGAAATAACTAAAGGGAATCTGAAGAAAAGCAGCAAATAAAGTTCTCATAAATAACGCCAGATTAGACTCAACCTCGTCATATCTCTATGACAGTGACTGCTTGACTTCTTTAATCTGTACAATAGACCACAGATTCTACTATTTTCCTGTAAGAAACAATATGTCAAAAGAACTTCCAACAAAATTTCTTGGGGTTGAGTAGAGGAAATAGGAATTAAATATAATACACAAGAAACTGGATTGTCAAATTCATTTGAAACCTAAAACAACCTCACTTGGAAGCAAGCTTCACAGAAGGTAATCATAAGATCCCAGGGACTGTTACTTACTTTTTGATAGTTTGGAGTATGTACATTTACACCCTCTCCTTTAGGGGAAAATTCCAATGGTCCTAAAGGTATTCCACCTGGGTTCAGAATTTTCTTGAGCATTTGGTAGTCTGGCTTTTCATCATATGCTAAATTACGAGCACATGTCAAATATTGGGCTATTTCACCTGTAAAGTATTAAATTTTTTTACATGTCATTCATAATTGGCAAGGAATGTCAAGACCCCGTATCCTCAAAATCTCTCTTTTCTCTCTTACACACACACACACACACATACTCTAAAGAAACTAAGAATGAGCAATTCAATGAAAATCACTTTTCAAATGATATCCAATGACTCAACTATATAGTGACCTATAGGTTTGGCAAGGTGAGAGAAATGTAATTTTTAATACATTTTTGTATATAGTCATTAATTCACTAATCTTATCAAAGGAAGCAAACTTTAAAATTACAGTTAGTGATTTTGATTTATACCTTGCAACTACTAAGAACCACCTGAGGAGCATAGTAGATGCTTTTACTTTATGTTGAAGTTTTAAAAATTCAGTTAAAAACACTTGGTACTTACTATAGACCTCCTTCAAAGGAAAAAAAAACCATTCCAAGTTTCAATTAAGGCTTTGGTTTTGAGATTATAGCAGTTCATTTAGAAACGACCTTGAACTGTACGCGTTCAGCCGGGCCTGTCTGTGGAAGTCGCTAAGCCTCCATACCTGGCCAGCCCAGAGCATCCGCGTCACAGTCAGATTTAGTGCAAAAGGACGACAACTTGCTACCTTTTATGTTTTTCTCTACTGTAATCTCCTGCCTAGGACTATAAGGTAACTCTCCCCCCTCCAAAAAAAGAATTTAAGGACTATAAACTTTTAAATACAAGTAGAATTAGTAACCAAGTTACAAACATAGCAGAGCCTTAAAACAAATGTAATTTTTGCATTTGTTTCATGCAAGTTCAATCTAAAATCTAGATACAAGACCATACACTGTTTAAAAACGGGCATGTTTTCATTTGTTTATGGCAATGTTTAGATGCTCCACAAACTAGTCTTTACAAGCCTTTCCGCTTCAAAAACGTATTACTGACCCAGACACAAGTCCTTCTTACATTAGCACTAAGCCGTTTATATCCCGGGGCAAGACAATCTGGGAAGCCTGGCAGGAGTGGTTTCCTAACCCTTCTCTTGCCCTCCAGGCTGACCTCCGTTCAAGTGGGGAAAGGCAGAGAACCTGGGTTTCGCTGCCCAAAAGGAAAATTCCAAAAGGAATAGCCATCATCTGTTTTCCCTTCTGAAAGTCAGAATGACCATTGTACACCACACTGTCCCCAGCTGTTCTCTAGGAACGCAAGGCTAATGTGACTAAACCGAGAACTCTTGGCTCCAGGGTGTTTCATTTGTTTGTTTGTTTTGGATACAGTGACAATTATGCATCCCACCTTTTTCCTCTCTAATATATAAGATATATAAAATATGTCATCTAGCATTCGATCACCCAGCTTTCTATTAACTAGCAAGTGCTGTGGTCCCATCATATTTATAACTCATGTTTGCAGGAGCCCTTTGGGAGCATCCAATTCCTGAAGGGATGATCAAGGAAAAAAAAGATGAAATCGCATTCACTGCTATTTTAACATAAATATCCTGTCGTTCTTTGGGCCTTTACAGATTGGTAAGCCAAGTTTGGTATACATTACAATTCTATTAACCAAAATATCCCAAATGGAGAACAGAGCTGAATATGTTGGGAACGCTTTTCACAAATCACTGTTGGAAGACAATGGAAGTCTCCTGGCATCCCACCAACTGACAGCAGCTGCTCAGTGAAGCCTTCATGGGTCTGGGGTTTGAAAAAACTGGGTACCAGTGAGGTAGGAGAGGGAGAAAAATAAAAGCCACCTCTGTTACAAATTTACTATCACAAACCTGAAGCTTAGCCTTTTGTGAGGCAGCACTGCTTTAGACGTCAGCCTTTCAAGATCTGGATGTATTATATTCAGTATACTTTCTAATTTACTAGCATATTTCCAGAGCTATAAAACAAAACACTTTGAGAGGTATGAAATTATGATATTCTTGAATCATCTGCTTTTTAGGCTAGTGGAATATTAAGTATCATTACTGAGTATCATTTCAAGAGAGAGAAACTTTTGAAACTATTATTGTTACACTGAGTTGGGCATGCACACTGCAAATTTCTTGGCTGTTTCATTTCATAAAGTGTCTTAGTAATAAACCTTTTATAAATCAGTTTAATTTTCCTGCTTACAATACCCATTCTCCTAAGCATAACCAACTTAAGAGACCTTCACTTAATATTAAAGGTTCAATGTTTTGTGCTTTAGAAATAGAAATCTGCATTTTATAAAATACTACTATAGACTCAAATGGTTTGTACTGTAAAAGAGGAATCTGGCACTGATCCCTTGAGTTCCCGTATCACTCACTTCTTCTTTGAACCTCACTCTAGCAAAAGAAGGGTCACAGAAGGTTATCTTGTATAACCCATGGCATCTGGGCTTTCTTTCCTGACCCAAAACTGAACAGTTACTCTCTGCGCAGGAGGGATAGGAAAGGAGATAAACAATTTTTAAAAATTTCTGACATCTCCCCAGCTCTCTTTTTTGCTGTCCTGTTGAGTAAAACACAAGCTGTATGACTTGGTAAAAATGTCAATAAGAATATTAGCCAAAAAGTATTATTAGCATTTGGACCAAGTTGCTAAAAAAAAAAAAAGGAAACACTTTTTCTCTTTCAACCCAGCCCCCGCAAATGAGAGCCCTCTCTTGTTCTCCCCCCTCCACGAGGCAGTGGGAAGACAGGCTCATGGTCTTAGGAAATGGAGGTAGAAAAGCAGATCTGGTTTGTTCCTCCTTTGTTTCCTATGAAAATGAAAACTTTGGTGTCATGTCAAAGAAGGGCTATGAATGTAAGTTTAAGGTGATTTAACTCAAATTCTCAGGTGAAAATTGACACTATTTGACCTTAGGTAGGGGTCAGTGTTCATACTCACCTTCGTAAGTCAGCTAAAAGCTCCCTTTGAGACCGTGCCATATAAACAGAGATCAAGATTCACTCTGCTTATCTGTCTCTGAGCAAAAGCAGACCCAGCAGCCAAAGGGGTCTTTCTATGAGACACTGTAACCCAGTTGTTAAATTGGTGCTCAATGTGCCCTGCGTGCACTGCAGATAGGCACTTGGGTAACTGAATTGACTTACTATTTTTACTAATAATACTGTCAATTAAAGAACTCCAAAAATGGTCTATACTAACTTGGAAGGAAAAACCATTTAATGAAATATATACCTGCAAACCCCAACGTCATATGCCAATTCAAAATTTGGTTGCTGGCTGTCCAGCCAGAGTGTAACCCACGGTCTAAACAGCATTCAAGGGTTTATTTGTGGGGTTTTTTTAAAATTACTGAAAGTAGTCTTAGGTCAATTTTATCTAAACAAAGATAGAAAGTCACCTCTAGAAATACCAGATAAAGCTGACTATTAAACCTGGGCATGATCCCCATAATATATATATCTAAAAAACAATAATAATAATAATTCAGTCAGCAGAGCCTAGAAAGCTGCCTAAATGCTTTCGTGCAGCGTCCTTGTGTTCTAATGTCAAAAAGGATCCAAATAGTCTTTGCTCGAGCAACCTATCTATAACCCTGAGAGTTTCCTCCCATCCCTGTGGAATGGGAGTGGGTGGATTAAAAAGTTGTAAAACAAGAGTGACGAATGTGGTGACCTGTAGAGAATATCGGAGAGGGCAGAAGTTATTGTGTAACTTACAGCAACTGCTTCCAGAAGGAGCCCATCTCAGCACCGACTCGGGGAGCTCATCCAACAGACTGAAACAAATAGAGTAACAACAATGAATCTGTTTGCCATCCTGTGATTCACTGTTCTGATTAGAAAACAAAACTCAAATTCTGTGTTGGTGAGTCACCAATACCTTGACTTTTAGTACTGTTTTTCACCCACCGGTAATAGGTTAGAAGAAAAGTGGACCAATTTTATATCAGTCACCTAGAGACTAAATAATGTAGAATTACAATATAAATGCTTTAATTCAAGGTTTACACAGGTAAAAATGTAGAAGTAGCAATATCTGTCATATTTTTTTCTTAAAAACAAGAAAAAAATACATAGAAAAATTGTATCTGGATTCTGAGGGTATTTTTCCTCAAGCATTTACCATTGGGGGGTAAATTATTTAATTACTTACATATAATGTTCTCGATTGGGCAGTGTTTTATGCTACCCAATGATTAAACAGGCCAACAAGAAATATCCAAAAAACAAAACACAACATCCATTATTCTAACAATTGCCAGTGTGTTAGACTGAACAAATACAACTCTCTTAAGTTGCTTCAGCCACAAATATATGAACATTCAACTAAAATTACTGATATGGATGTCTGACTCATAAACTCAGGCACAGGCAGAAATGCAACAATAAATGCACTGATCAAATATCACCCTGTGTCAGGGAAATAAGGGCATAAGGGAGATATGGTATCATGGTTGAATATGCAAGCATGCCCTTATGGAAAATTCAGTGTTATGCCTTCTCAGCAATTGAATAAATTATGATTATGTATTATACACTATAAGAAGTTTGAAAATGTCTACAGTTTACCTTAATAATACACTTCATAATATATTAGCTTTATTGATCTATAGGTTTTTACTAATAATCACATCAAAATGAAGATATTAACATGTTAGGATCTCCAAAATGTAAATAAAGGTTATATTTATTAGCATTATATTCTATTATTTTATATGATCCCCTATTATTATATCTGAATACACATATGTAGGCATATTCATTAAAGAAATCTATATATGCATATTGATAAAAGACTAAAATCATTAGTAAATCTTAATAAAAAAACCATACATATAATCATTAGAATTAAAATGCTAATCTTTGTAATAAAATACATTTTTGAAATTCAGTAAACTGAGGTGGAAAATTGTGTACCAGAACTGTTTGTTTATACCCATTACTGTATTTTGACTTGACCCATATATTAAAAAATGTCAGTTACATGGGGGTTAATATGGACACATCGATCACTGCAGTAAGTAACTAATTAGATAGTTCTAATATTGACTTATATAAATGTGTTCATTTTGGGTGAGGGAATAGGATGATGAAGATTCCAAGTGGACAAACATCTTATATAATATATAGTACGTCAGTGTTTACAAATGTGATCTGCATCTGCAGGCCAGCCTTTCTCTCTCTTAAGAACAGATGCCACAATGAACTTGAAGATTGATTCCTATGAATCAGCTGCCCCTCTCATAAACTTCTGTTGTGACATGCCCTTCTTAGGACATACCTGCCTTCCCCAATTGTGATATTGTATCTGTGGGTGAGGACTGTTGAGCATATCTTGGTATATAATAAAAAATTGGCTATTCCGTGCTACATGCAATTGACTTTTTCTTAGGCTTGATAAGTGAGAAAATAGTAAAATAGCAACACACTCTGTTCTCAGGCTGACCTAATTTTCATGCTAACAGATTCTAGCTGAGAAAAATGGAATGTGAAATATTAAAAATGTTTATATGGCTGCAGGATCATCTTTTATATAAACACCTCATATAAAAATTGTTTGTTTCTTCTTTCAGAAACAAAACATACTCCCACCAAGACACAGGATTAAGAAAGAGGTGTGCTGCTCTCACTTGAAAAATATGGGCCATATTTGTCCCATTTCACATCGTCGCTCTGCGCAGTTAATATCGATCACATGGAGCTCAAACTACCTGCATATACTTATACAGCGCTCATCTGAAAATACTCTCCCTTGAAACCACCACCACCTAGAACCTAAGTTTTGGAAAACACCATGGAAAGGAAGAACTACTTCACTTTACATTTTGTATTATGATTCGTGTACATGTGATTTCATAGGCGGCGTCATCTTAATGAATTTTATGTCTGTAGGCTGTGCAGCCTTTTAAACAGTATTTTTCAAATTTAAGAAATTTGCTTTGGTTATCATGTTGGGTGACTGGCAGTCTCCTCTGGGATACTGCCTCCCCTGATGGGCCCCTGCAGGGCTGCTGTGTGCTGATGGAGAGTCTGGAAACTGTACTTGGTTTTCGCAGTCTGGACGGCCGCAGGGTCGCGCAGGCTCCGCTCCCAGGGCAGCGGCCCACAGTGCCAGCGCAGCAGGCAGTAGCCGAGGATCTCCAGGTCACTTCGTCGGGACAGGGCTAGAGGGGTCAGCATTGAGACAGAGAGGAGGGAGAAGCAGGTTTTGAGAAATGGAGGAACCACTGATTTAACTACCATCGATGAAATATGAAAAAGCCAAATGGGAGACGTGTTTTGTTTGTTCAGCTGGAGTAAAACTTAACCGCCTGGGCGCTTGGCTCCAGGCCACAGACAGGCAGGGACTTGCTGCTGCTGAAAGTGAGGGTCAGCTTCCTCGCCTCCTCCGCCTTCATCCTTCCTTAGTCTAGCCTGTCACATGAACTTGATCTCCATGGCCTCTGACATGATCCAGACAACCCATAACCTGGCACCAACACTTTCTCAAAGAGCCAAGCAGTAAAACAAAGAAATAAATGTCTGCGGCTAAATTGCTAACATATGTTCCGGGAAGCCCATGGGGTCTGCATTGGTCACGCGGAGACCCTTTGAGCGCAGACTAAACATCGATGGCCTTTTCTGTTCCACTCGCACTGCAGCATGTGAAGCTGGAAGAGTATGACAAAACTGCCATCTAGTGTGCAGTATAAAAACCAGGGCTGTCGGGAGATTTTCCCATTCGTGAGAGTGAGGGGCAAAATATGCCTACTGTTTGGGGTACACAGTTCTATGGTTTTACAAATATTATTTTTAGATATAAGCAGTGTTAAACTAAGATTCTGGTCAAATACCCTGAATAGAAAATATAAAGACGAGGCAATGATGTTCATGGGAGTGTGGGTGGAGGTGGTAGGAAGTAGATTTTGAAGCCAACAGAGGCTTTCAGCATTTACAAGATGGCTTTTTATACAAAATGCAGTAAAAGAACAATTTTAAGCCACTGCAAATATCATTTATATCAAACTACTAAATGCTGTAGACTAATGCCATCACAATTTTATATTTTTTAAAGTGCCTCATTTCAAAAGATAGACAATGAAATCTAAGAAACATGTCAAATATAACAAATATTACTGAAAAAAATGATTAAAACATTAACAAAACCCAACAAACTAAACTCATGTTTTTAACCATTCCAAACTGTTATAAAACGACAGGTTGGTGTTTACATTTCTACCATGACTTGACTGCTCATCTGTGCAGGGATACACAACCTCCAAAGTGTATTTTGTGGCTGTTAAACTTTCTGTAAACAGGTATCCTATTTTATTACCTTTCATTAAATAAAGTCCAAAAAAATCTTGCTCAGTAAACTTAAGTTTTTAGTTTAAAAAGTCATCTACTAAGAACAATGCTGCCAGTATGTCATAACTACTTTTGGTCACCATACATAAGTTGTTATAAAAGCAGAAGACAAGATTAGCTCTTACACATACTCTATCTTAACTGCTGTGAGAGTAGGATTATTAAAGGCCCTTCAGCCTAGCAGAACGCTGCGATCCCACGGGTGCCATTTACTTTCTGCACAAGCTTCCACAATGTCCTAATGCAAGTCCTGGCTCTTGTATTCAAATAAAAACACAGCCTCTACCACACTGTTTTGTAGTGACTTCTCCAGTAATAAATCTCCCATTAATAATGGAATGGTTCCATTTGTACAGATGTGTTCACAAGTCCCTTTTCCATTCTGGTTGGTAACTCCTGATTACCACCATTTAAAAAAAAATTCACATCCTCTAATTTTCAAAAAATTATATTCTGGCACCTGTTTGGATGACAGAGGCTACACACAAGAGGCCCTCTGAAGAAAAACAATAGAGAATTAAAATGGAATGAACCTTCCTGGTCACTGTTCCCCACCCTCCGACAGTGGGATTAATTGATCTGAAGCAGCAGTAATGACAATTCATTCAGATTTCTGAAGCCAATCTTTCATGAACTGGTCTTCCTTTGAAATAGCCCTTTGAGAGTTAACTTTACCTCACTGTTACAGTCTGGTCTTACCTAAGTAAAGTACATTATCACATTTTTCAACTTTTTACTTATTTTCTTTTACTGCATACATACATTAATAACTATGCTTAGGTATTTTACCACTGTTTCCATTCAGTTCTGTAGAAATACATGTAATGTAACATCCTATAGTTTCTCTTTCTCACTATTAAGGAGATAAAAGTATTAAAAATGTTTCTAAGTACATATCCTCCCTGGAATTCCCTCCCCAAAAAACAAATTGCGAAGTCTGATGCGTTTTAGTGAAATTAAACCCTAAGATTCTACCAACAATTATGTCTTCTTTCCATCTACTGTACACAGAAAAATAATTTTAATACCTGTTAATTAAAAATACTCTTGATGACAATATGTGTGTAACTAACACAAGACATTGATCATATATCTTTAATTGACTTTAAAATACATCAAAATATAAATGACATGACAAAATAATAATTATAATTTAGGAAATGAATATTTTGATATTTACTACATTTATTCTAATTCCTTTGTATTTCAAAAGAATTAAATAAACTGCTGAAAATAAAAAGAAACACAAGAATTCCTTATAGTTGAAGAGGACTATTAATGTCTACGTATGAAAATTTTTTTTTAATTTGAAAGTTGAAATATATATGGATTCTTTTGTTTCTATATAATTTGCATTTCTGTATAATTTACTGTAACTTATAGGGTTCTTCAGTTATATTTGATAATTAATATAATTAACAGTATATTTTCACATAGACATCTTCAAAAAAATCAAACTATTATGGTGCTACGGGAATGCAGCAAAATTTAGTTATTAATATTTTTCTTCTACACTCTTGTGTTAGTTTCCAAATATAATTTAGCATCCAATTTTTATTTATAAATATGGAGCAATGTAAATGACTCTTTTCATGGAAAGCCTGCAGTGTTCTCAATTGCTCAGCATTTCTAAATTATAAAGTATTGCCAAGAGTAACAACAATTGAAAAAAAAGGCACAGGTAGGGTCTTGAATTCTATTTCACTAGAAAGCTGATTATAGAAACAGTTGACACTGAAATGCATGATTAAAATTAAAAGAATTGATGTGATTTATGGAGCTGCTATTGTGCCAGACACTCTAGCTCCTTTTATATTATCTCATTTAATCATCCTAAAAATATAAGTATTATTAACCCCGATGGCAAATAAGAAATTAGAGGCTCAGAGAGGTTAAATAACTTGCTCAGTATCACAGAGCAAAATCTGACAGAGCTCTACAGTGAAATCCGTATTTCAGAATCCAAAGTCCACACTCAGTCTAATAATTACTTTGCCTCTACCATTAGTTTCAACACCATTCAAACATTACATATACTACTTCTACAGTTAGGGAATTACCTGAAGTAGGCATTGTAATTTAAAACACAGAAAGATATACTGATACAAAGACAGTTCTTTTGCAAGGAATAAACCAGCAGCAGATCCTGAGGTGTAAGCTACAGCACTAACAACATTTTTCATGCAACTATCCTTTCAAGATACTATTTCTTTCAAACTACTTCATTCTAATGAAGAAGGGTGTCTAGTAAAAACGTTATATCATAAAGTGTTAAATGGTCCTTCCGAGCTGGAACAAAAACAGAGGAGTTACCTTGGAGAACTGGTCTTTATTCTAACAACAAACTGTAGTGAAATCATCCAGGCCCAGTTCCTCAAATGGAATGAGAGAGGAATTGGGGGAACAGGGAAAGTGCAAGTGTTAATTCTAAAATTAATCTGATCATTTGCCTAAGGGGTTTTCTGTTTAGTTTTATTTCTTATATAGAGTAATGAAAACTGTGAAGAAAAAGAAGTTTAGTAGGAAATAATAAAGTGAACTTGAAAACTTTGTCCTAAAGCAAACGGGTTTAAATGCCCAAAATACTACTTCATAGGCTGGGCAATGACAATGAGAGCACAGAACACATCTGAGTAAGATGCTCACCTGAGCAAGCGAAGGGTGACTGTGCGAAACAAATCTAAACTTCATTTTAATTTTTCTAGCTAGTAACCTATGTTATTCAGTATTTTGTAAATTCAGATATATAATGAGCTGGAAAATGTTATGGTGGCCACAAAGTTTTGCCATTTCAAAAAGGATGTGAGGAAAAAAGAATGCAATCTGTGACACTGCAAATAAAATACTAAACCCAGGTCTCCCTTGTTTTTCCTGTACCTTTTAAATTCTAAGCCTTAGCTTTTTATGAAACACTACAGTGGGGGTGCTTAGGAAAAGTTATTCAACAGAGCGAAGGTAAAGGTAGGATACATTTCGTCAATGCATATTCTTAACCCAACCGAACAGTTCAAGACCTATGTCATGACTTTAAAAGTCACGTCTAAATGTCACAGTTGGGTTGTACCATGCAGGGGGAATAGTGTCTCCATTATTGTTTATTGACACATCAACCAAAGACTATTTACAGAAGTTAAATTTACCTAAAAATAGAAATCAACAGTATTTTTTTCTGATTACTAACAGATCCAACAGAGCATATCAATAACTTGATGGCTCCCCTTGACATCTTATCATTGAAAAATGGGTTCCTTTTGTGAATTATTGTTTAAGAAGATAAATTTCATGTCACTTCCCCAAGTTTGGTAACATGAAAATACATTCTCAGTTTATTTCACATATATTTTGTAAGTTGGAGTGCTGAATTAGAGTGAAATGAAGCCATGCAAGAAATAGCACAAGACTTGGATTTCATACATGGTAGCGATTGGCAAAAATAAAAAAGTATGTAATATATCTTTCCTTGATACTGAATATATTACATAAACAAATAGACATTTAAAATGCAATTTAGATATCCTATTTTACAGTCAACCATGATGTCAAATTAAAACAGGTATTATACACTCAATGCACAGGTCTGAAGTATTTAAAAAAGCTCAATATGTTAAATGCAGTATATCTCTAGAGAAATTAGGTATTGACTGCATGCCTCAGTGAGTAGAAAAATCTACAAAAATCCATACTACACATTGATCCAAATATTGCTTTTTTAACATTGCTAAGAATGTAACAAATTTTAAAATAGTATATTTGACACAGATATAATTCTCTTTAATTATCAGGCAACGAGCCCAAAATATGTCAATGTTTATACATGTTAGTTTTTATGAAGAATAAAAAAATAATAATAGAAGAGATAAGCCCAGCATGCATTACTCTAATTTTACACCAAATGAAGCACTTCAGCCTCTCAGACAATACCTTTAGGTCATACAAGAGAATTGAGTTTGAAAGAATAATTGCGATTTTTTAAAAACATACAGATATATACATGATAGTTCCAGAAATAGTTATTTATCCATTCCTCTGTCAATCTATCTGCCCATTTCTATATATCTTTTTGGTTTGTAATAACACAAGCTACTCTGCTTTTACATAAAGTTGAACTAGAAAATGCTTGGGTAAAACTGCCGATTGGCACCTTATACGAGCTCCTCCATTATAAAAACCCAACTAATCCACAGAAAGAAGAGGGTTAGCTACAGTTTATGAATAACCACTATGAAAAGTGCAGAGACCAGCTAGTCTGATCAGGTTAACAGTGTCAGTTAAATGGCTAATTCACAAATCAGTTTCACCCTGAAGCCTGGATATTCCCTGGGCCTGACCAGACACAGACACACCTGACACCAGACGGATGCTTTGACAACTAGAATTCCATTTCCCAGTGACAACTTGTTTTGTTCTTTATGTTTTCCTTTGCATTATCTTTCTAAGTAGTTATTTGATCTCATGGTTGGGCTGGTATAGAAAAGGTTTGTCTGAGATTAAACTACGTAGTGACTGTACTGAAAGTAAACACATACATATTTGTGAATTTGACCTTCTGCATTAACCTACAGGATTTATGGCTGTGTTTATTCAGGTTCCTAGATATGACTAAATGATTATTTCATTTCTAATAAATTCTTAATGTGAAATATTTTAGAAAATTAAATACAAACTATTAGGAATGAATTCAAACATTTGAGGACATCAAACCCTTCACTTTATATACCAGACTAAAAGTATATATTAAAACTTTAGCAAATATATATTTATGTGTGTATGTAGCTATGTATGTATGTGTGTACATATGTGTATGTGTGTACATAGGCAGGTATATATATCTATATGTAGATATACATATGCACAGAAGTTTAGTGAAAATACAATTTTAAATGCATTAAGGGAATATTTTTATAGGAATCTTATGAAACCTATAAAAATGAACATTCACTCCAGCATGTAACTTTCCAGCAAATACCAAAAATAGGTAATATAGACTCTTCCCTGAATTATCCTCCCAGGGAGATAGTGTCTTTCTACCATCATTCTTAGTTCAATATTCTCCCCCCAAACCCTAGTATGGTGAATCTACCCAACTCATCACATGTATTATTATTTAGGAAGGAAAAAACTTAAGCAAACTACAGAATTAAAATTCGTTCAAATCTTTTATGAAGACGGCACAAAAAAACACTGCCCTAACCTATGGAATAACTGTAGAGGACTTTCAGAATTACCAGTCCAGACACTGGCCAGATGAACACGCAACAACTATTCCTCCCATTCAACAGTCACACTGGTTTCTCAGCTGTTTCCACGGCCACAGCCATGTGCATCAGGGTTAGAACTAGCCAGTGAAATAAGTTAATATCATTACTACCATAACTGGACCAATGCTTAAAAACCTGTATGATGAATTTCCAGTTACACTACTATCGAAAAAGTACTCCCAGGTTTCCGGAAATCCTTTCATACTAATGAATCTGGCAAAAGTGAAGAAAACTCACTGAGAGTAAAAGAACTTTGAACTGAACGCGTACCCCACTGTCAAAGGCATTTGATTCTTACATTTCTTAATTTATTTAAACCGATGTCCCATTTATATCTTTCAGTGCTCACTGATTCATTAACAATGCAAATGGTGAAAAAATACACAAGATTTCTTAATTTCTGAGTGATCATTACTTTTCTAACCAAACTATCCTTGAAAAGTAATGTAGTGATTTCTTTCACTCTAATCCAAAGTGTAAAAGCTAATTTCCATTTCAGAAAATTTAACCTATGATTCTCCCAGAAAGGAAGCAAGGATACAACTGACATACTTGTCTCACTTCTTCCTTGGCCTACCTTAAACTAGGATGGGCTTTAACTGCTCTGGAAAATGATCAGGACCCTTCTACATTACATGGCCAGTGGTCCTTTTAATAGAAAAGGCAATAATATACAGCTGTTCGGACCAACTAAAACTCGTTAGGAAGTCTCAGTTTAGGGTAACAGTTCAACAGCCATTAACAAGTGCAAATGTCTAATTGCCTTTTAGTGCAAATGTGGTTCTTTCAAAGCTGTTTAAAATTATTTGTATGGTTTAGCATACTTGAAAATACTTTTATAAACAAAGTTTAAAGAATATAATTTTGAAAGCCAAAGTTCTTCAATAATCACCCTTTTTTTTACTAGCATAACATTAGAATTGACTTTTTGTCTTGCTGACAGAGCAACTAAGAAAGTACTGTTGCATTGACCATATTGATTGTGAACAAAGCAACCATCAGTGGGACTCTGCACCATATATTTTCAATATTGACCTCCTACTTCCTTTTCCATGGCTTTCTGGGTCGGCTATTGGATTTGGACTGCAGTGTAATAAACAGCTAAGGTTTAATTAATGGTAAATGAATACAAGACATAGGTTATGACTTTAACTAATTAGGGAATTGTTGAATTAAGTCTGCCTTGGAATGCAAGGCAGTACAATCAATATCCAATAAAAGGACTATGTATGTAATTTACCTGCAAATGTGTTTCCAATACCATCAAAGTGAGTTTAAATAAGTAAGATATATGAAAGGCGACTAGGAGAGATTTCCACAAATTAACACTTTATAGTTTCAGAAAAGATTTTCTTATTGTTGAGAGATGGTATCTTCCATAGCTCAGATAAGGGCACAATGAAAAATAGGAACAATTCTTCATACGTGCACTTTACCAAGTCTGTAATGTTCACTACAGCATAAAAACTCAGCTGCTGACCTCCAAGTTTAACCTACACAAACTAGTAATTTCCTACCCAAAATGAGCATCAAGCTTTGCTTTCTTGACATCCTTTTGCTATTTTCTCACTTGTCACAGTCTGTATCTCCTCCCCTTGTTAAGACAATACTCACTGGCATAGAGGAATTCACTCTTTTCAATAAAAATCTCAGCAGTGCTCTCACTCCTCAGAGTTACTATGCAAAGGTCATTTCATGGAGTCTTATTACTCTTTAATTATTCTTGTGAAATAAAAATAAGAAAAAGTAAAAAGAAACTTACGTACTCCCTTGTGGGCATCCAAGCTGGTAAACTCCATTGTCCCATTATGGCCTTTTCTAGGATTTTCCTGATACTGTTTGTGGTTCCCATTGGGACAATATCTGTAGGCAAGTCCATAATCTGCAAGATAAACCTGGAAGACACGAACAGACAAATGAATCGTGCTTTTGTCCTCTGAAAATACAACCTTTATAATTATGTCTTAAGAAACTGTTAAGAACAGTCTTAGATCTACATTTTATTAAACCAAATGGTGCCTTAGGATAAAATATATACAACTAGGGACCATAACAACTAACTTCCCAACTTAAATCTTGACTTCATCATAGGCATATCTTTTCTGAGTTAACTTAGATTCTTAGTCTTTTTACTTTGCTCCCAAACTCCCTTCCCTCCATGTGGGCATCTAGACATCATAAACTGCAACTTGTCTTTTTATCAGTATTCATGCAGCTTATGAGGCTCTGCCTTTTCTCGTAACCTCCACCCTGCAACATAAAACTGTTTCAAGCAGGGAGGAGGAGGTGAGAGCCAACAATCTAAAAATATAAACCTAATGTTATAGGAGTCTCCATTAACAGGAGGTATAAAAATAGTGATCAGACTGTAAGAGGTAATGACTCTTTGCAAAAACCACCAGCATGTTGTGTGTATTTAAGAACGGAACATCAGCGCAGTACTCAGACCGATCCATATCATCACTGTTATCTTTGTCAGTCAGTCAGAATTGCAAGCAGGGTTTCCAAACAGAATATAAGTTGATAAAAGTCAGAAGGCAATTCAAGTGAATTTTTCTCAGATTACTTTGGAGAGAGAAGGAGGAGGGAGAAGTAGTTTTACAGATGTGGCATACATTGAATAGGGAGGACTATTATGACTCGATATTTATTCTGACATGAAGTCAAAATACAGTAGTTGCCAACTATATCTTACCATGCTCACCCCCACAAAAAAGCAGTTGCAACTTTTAAAACATGTTGTTTCACTTTTTTTTTTTTTTTAATTTAGGGGTTGAGGCAACATTTCATGATGTAGCTACAAGGCAAGAGAGCATTACAAAACAACTTGTATTTTAAAATATATCTATTAAAATTTAGTATTTATTTTTTAGTTTCTTTAACCTTTTGGTTTTAGGACTTCAAAATAGAAACAGCACAGAGTTTTCTTCATTTGTTGGAGAACATAGCTTGCTACAGTGTCTGAAAACATGGTATTTCAGTTTTGTCTCTCTCTCCCACAGATGCTGTTTCTCCCACAGATGGCTTCAGAAGTAACTGATCCCTCTGCCCTAAGTAACTAGGCTTAAGGATGAGATTGTAACTGGTTGCTTACTTTCACTATATATGATGCATTTTTATCTTTATTTCAAGAACTAAATTGATAGGCTTCACTTACAAAGAAAATATCCCAGATATGTACATATTGATAACTTAGCAAATGGAACAGTATAGTAAATACACTAGTTTACTAAAAACAAACAAAAACTATCAAGAATATTTTCATGTAGTCATTAGCCAAAAAGACCTAAACTTCATGGAGTACCTAGTATACATGAGAGCATGCTAAGAGCTTTACATTCATTGACCCAACCCATCTTCACAGAAATCCTGCACGTAGGTACTATCATCTCCAGTTCACTCATGCAAACTGCAGCTCAGTGAGGTTATGTGACTTGGGTAGTAAAATGGAGCCAGAGTCTGACTCCAGAGTTTTTACTTTCAGTCACTGTGGGAGGGAAATTGCACTGCATAAGTTAAAAAGACAAGGAAGATTTTATTCAAGGCCATTGCAATAGGGGAGAGAGATAAACTCAACTCCACTGAAACAAAGATGGGGAAGTTTTTAAGCCCTGGGGCAAGCTAGTGAAAAGTACTGGAGGACATTAGGGAAGGTTGGTCAATGTGCCTAGGTTATCTACGTTTGCTAATTGGTGCTTAGGCTCCTACCCTCCTTCAGAGACTGAAGAGATAGGAGCACTATGTTTCTCAGAGATTACATTTTAAAGGAATAACTCCCAGGTCCTAGAGAAGGCCTTTTCTTTGCTGAGAGATTTTATTATTACTGGATAAATCTCCTTACTGGTAATTGTTCTGCTCAGATTTTTTTATTTCTTCATGATTCAGTCTTGGAAGGTTGTATGTTTCTAGGAATTTATCCATTTCCTCTAAGTTGTCTAATTTGTTGGCGGATAACTGTTCATAATAGTTTCTTATGATTCTTACTTGTGTTATCAGCTGTAATATCTCTTCTCTCATTCCTGATTTCATTTATTTGAGTCTTCCCTTTTTTCTTAGTCTAGCTAAATGTTTATCTATTTTGTTTATGTTTCGAAAAAAACAGCTAACAATCTCATTCATCTTTTCTATTGTCTTACTGGTCTCTATTTCACTTATTTTCATTCTGAAATTTATTACTCCCTTCCTTTTAATTATTTTGTGCTTAGTTTGTTCTTTTCCTATGTCCTTTATGTGTAAAGTTAGGTTGTTTTATTTGAGATCTTCCTTTATTCTTAATGTAGGAGTTTATTGCTATAAACTTCCCTCTTAGAACTGCTTTTGCTGCATCCCATAAATTTTAGAATTCTGTGTTTTCATTTCCATTTGTCTGAAGGTATTTTTTTATTTTCTTTTTGATTCCTTCTTTGATATACTGGTTGTTCATGAGCACACTGTTTCATCTCCACATACTTGTGAATATTACAGTTTTCCTCTTGTAACTGATCTCAAGTTTCATACCACTATGGTTAGAAAAGATGCTTGATATGATTTCAATCCTCTTAAATTTGCTAAGACTTGTTCTGTGGCCTAAGGCAATCCATTCTAAAGATTGCTCCATGACACTTGAGAAGAATGTATATTCTGTCGTTGTTGGATGGAATGTATTGTATGACTATCAAGCCCATCTGGTTTAACATGTAGTTTAAGTTCAATGTTTCCCCATTAATTTTCTGTCTGGACAATCTATCCATGTTGAAAGTGGGGTATTGAAGCCCCTGACAATTATTGTATTCCTGTCTATTTTTCCTTTCAGATCTGTTAGTATATGCTTTATTTATTAAGTGTTCTGATATTGGGTGCATAGTTGGTGGTCTTAACAGAGTTGTGGGTAGAAGTCAAATAAGCACAGAAGGCTGCTAAACAAAATAATAAAACAAACAAGTATCTATCTTCACCCCACTATATAAATCTTTTGTTGTTGTTGTTTGGATTTTTATCTACTAGTAAAGCCTATAATTGAAAATATTTATATTCTTATGGATTCAATGAGAATTAAATTCTCATGAAAGTTTTACTACCAGAATCTATCAATATTTTTAAATTACAGGTTGTGAAGCACTAATAAAGAAATTTAGGAGTGATTGCATTTGGTGGGTAGAGATATGATGTAAAAGGAAGTAAAACCAATAATTTGTACAAACTAATCAAAATATTGACAAATTATTTTGTCTCAAATTTGGTCAAAGTGAGAGTTTCTACAAAGATAACTTAATAGAAATACAGTCTAGAATTGTGTTAGAACAATTAAAAATAAGAAAAAAAAAGGCTAGGAAATGTCAAACATGATAAGGAAGGTAAAAAGGAAGTAACATTTGTTAAAGTTCTAATTATGTGATAATCACTGAGCAAAATACCTTTCACAAATTACTTCATTAAATCTTATCAAACACCCAGCCAGGTAGCATTGGTTTCATTCTAGATATGAGAAAGCTGAGCATCTGAGTAATTAAATAACTTGCCCATGTGCTAGTAAAGAAGAGAAACAGGATTCAAATCCATGCCAATATGACTTCGAAGTCCATTGTCTTTTTTTTTTTTGTTTTATACAACAAACAATTTGGAAATCTGCTCATTTCTGAAATTTTGTTGAAGTAAAATATAAGTCTAAGCAGAACTTAATCTACAGTGGGGTTTGCAGTTTAGGCCCTGTTTTGCATGCCCTTGAGCCATGAATAATTTCTGCATTTTTATAGGATTGTAAAACAGAAAAAGAAAAAGAATAGGCAACAGAGACCCATGTGTGGCCCCCAGAGCCTGTAAGGCCTAAAATATTTACTACCTGGCTCTTTACAGAAAAAGTTTGCCAACCTCTAATCTAGAGAAAAACTTGGTTTTAGTTAACTGTTTTTATATTATCCTTTTTTTTCCTGTGAAATAAAAAATAACAACTAATATTTTTTACTTTAAGTATAAATACATGTAATATGCCTCGTTTTAGAAGCTTGTAGTTGGAAACTCAAGTTCACCAATCAGGTGAAGGACGATTATTTGCATTATAATAAGACTAGACATAGGATGATATAAAATCTAGCTCCCTAATGCATTTTAAATGATTTTATTTTTATGCAACTTTTCTGAATTTAGTAACCATTTCCTTTCTCCAGGAGTAAAAGGACAGCCCTACCTGCTTCCCTTTCCATAGATCTTTTCATTACACTGTACTGCCCCTCACATTTCTACATGGAACTCATTTTTTTCTCACCTTAGATATGCTTTATTTTTTATAACTCTGTAAGATAGGTAGAGATAATGTGTGTCATTATCCACATTTAATAGGTGAAAAATAATGCAATAAACCCAAATAATGCCAAGTCACCCAACACTCACCAAGTCCTGCTTCTACAAAGGGTTTTGTTTTAATGAATTTCTTAGTACCCCCCAATACCACCTAATCTGAGCTAATGCTTTCATGGACTTTTGATTTTAATATCTTATTACTGAAGGTAGTGTGGCAGCCACTGAGGTGTAATCCCATCAAGAAAGAACTGGCCTTTCACCTATGAGGGGTGCAATAAGCTGAAAACCTCCGGTGGTAGGACCATTAGGAACCACCAGAGCATGTGAGCCAAGGCCACTCTCTTCCTGAGCAGCTCCTGCCAAACAATGATCATGGTGGGGATTCTGTGTGGCCAATTCTATCTGATCAGAGATTCTTCTCGTGGGCATTCTTTGTTCTGCTGCTCTCTAATGGGCTAGCTGCGCCTTAGAACTGTATCACAGACTGAGCTCTCCCTGCTCAATCCTTCTTGTCCCCTTTCCTTTCACGAGTGTCATATCAACATCCCACTCTGAAAGCATTCTCTGTCCAATCCTGCTGCTTCTCCTTTCTCTCTCATAGGTAATATACTTCCTCTAC